ATAGGGGCATTTGTCAAACTAAACTACATCACAAAAAACTCATAATCACTTGTTTTTGTTTGGAATGCCATCTTTGAAACATCCTTGAATTTAACACAAATCATGGTCTATGCTGCAAAGAGAGCATTTTGGACAAGAAGATTCCCATCGCTCAGGCAAAGAGTATATATGCTGTAATGATTTACTCAATCATCTCTATGATATTTATGATGCTTATGGTGCTTGTGGTGCTCATCTATCACAATAAAGAGGAGTTGCCAAATTTTCTGGGCTGCTGGATCCAGCTAATCGCAGCCGTCCGATGGGGGGTAATTGTAAAGGGGTTATTTCTTTAACCACGTGTTTGAGAATAATTGCATTGATGTTTGCTCCTGGCCAATGGGAGGCAGCCAAGCCACATGGGGCAGGAGAGGAAGGCGCAGCGATGCGTGTCACATTCAATGTGTTAACCGTCGTGGTCTGTCGAACTAATTGGTTTTGTTATGTTTTTCTAGGGTTTATGAGATGGCAAGAGAGCCCCTGCTGCTGCTGCCGATTTGCGATCCAAATTGGAGATGCTGTGTCAACACTGGTGTCTTTGCTCCTGAGAACCCCATTGCAAGTTTTCACTTTCTTATGCTCTCAACTTAACATTTTTCTTTTCTTTTTTGGTTTTCTTTCTGCAGGAGAAATATTGGCAACGAGACCATGATGCTCAAATCTCAAAGCTATTCCCTGTGGGTTTGATGCCTCTACGGATCAAAAGACCAAGAAGTGGTATGTCTAGCTTTGATTTGACAATCTTAAACACTCATTCAGCTTTTGTTTGTTCTGTTCTTCTTACCCAAGAGAGCTAGGTATGGTATGTTGTTATTTTTCATTCTTCTTTCATAACTTTGGTATTCTCATACAAGATATGTCTCTGCTTTTGGCTCTTCATCGCGTTAATGTGAGGAGTTCCATCAAATCAAGGTATTTGTGATGTGTAGAATTTATATGATCTTCATTCTTACTCCACTGTCAGAAAATGGGACAAGGTGATTTCAGGACGAGCCTTGCATGGACATTCGCGGAGAAGAAGCTGACTGAGGCGATGTTTCAAGTAAGCAGCTCAATTGTGTTATTTTCTTAGTTTGTAATGCACAGCAGCTCTTAAACGCTTTGAAGCACATACACTCGGCACAGCCTCGCTCACCTGGACATGAAGCCTGACAACATCTACATCTGCAATCACATCTACAAGATTCGCTTCGAGCCTGTGCTGCCGAGGTAAGGGCTGCAGAGGCTGTGACAACCACAAAGTTACTACTGCTCGACGAGCAAGACAGGAAGCTAAACAGCACTGCTTCCATGACCAACCTCAATGGAGTTCACGTTAGCTTGGACTCCCCCAAGGTTCCTGGAACTCCACGAATCATGGAGCATAACAACAGTGGCAGTAGCAGTAGCAGCAGCCATGGGAATGGGATGAACGAAGCCGTGCTAACACTGGAAGGTTGGATTTTTTTTGTTTGGATCTTCTCTGGTGCTAAGTTTTCGAAATGATCAAGCAGATATGCAGCAGTTCCAGAGAACAATGAGAGTGAAGCTCTTCATCCACTTCCTGACGATGATGCTACGCACAAATACGACGAAGATCTTGTGACATAAGTCACAGTCATATAATAGAACTTGATTACTCACTTTGGAAACTTCTAGCGGCGCCGATGGGAATGGACACAACCTTCCCGAGAGTCCATTCGCCAGCCCGCATCACAGCGAGAACTCTTCCAACTCGCACATACCGGAAGAACACCACGATCAACCTCCATCTCTGTCAATTGAAGATAAGATGATGGGGCTGGATCTCAATGAAGTTTTCAACCTCACACCGCTGCACAACGACATCATTTGCTGCATTTGTCTCAGTAAGTCCCACTCTTGCAAATTATTGTAACAATCCAAGCTTACTTCGTTTCTTCCTGTTCTTCGTCCAGAGCACTGCGTAGAGCCATCCAAACTGGACTGCAGCCATACCTTTTGCGTGCAGTGTATCCTGAAGGTAAAAATCTCTCTTTTCTCTCTTGACTTTAAACTTTGGTCATCGTTCTCTTCATTTTCTCCAAGTTATCAAAGGATCAAAGGATGAATGTCCAATCTGCCAACAACACATTTGTTGAAAATAACTCGACATCACAACCTCATATAATTTGTATCTAATATTATTATTAATGAATATTTATTCTTACTTATGCCTAAAAATATAATTTTTGTTCTAAATATTTATATTATCAAGTTTACAAGAATTGAATTTTGTATTCACCTAACATTTTCTGGGCATAATTTCCCTAAATTCTTCTTTTAAAGTGGAATACAATATATTTTTATACTATTCCAATTTTAGTTTTTAATATAATAAAATTATAACACTCAAAAAACAGTATGTTGCTAACTGGACAGCATATGAAACAAATAAAATTAAGAAAATATAAGAAGTAACCAAATAAAACAAGAAACAAAATATAATTAAAATATAAGAAGTAACCAGAGGAAAAACCTAAAACAAGGCTTATAAATTATAGCACTCATTAATATACCCATTAACAATTTAAACCTTTAGTTGACTGGGCGTGACGTGGAGCGCCACAGAGTGGACGTGGAGCGCCACAGAGTGGGCGTGGCAACTCAAACTGTCGCAAGGAAAGACAAACCTTTTGCTGGGTGTCCCAGGGGAGCCACGCCGTCACCTAGATGTATCGCGCACCCGACAAGCTATCGCCAATGCAGAATGGGTGGTAGCCTCCACGCTTGTATTCGTCAGCGCTTCTTCTGTCACCCAACAAGCCTCCTCCTCCTTCTTCCTCTCCCTCTATGTAACTGATTATTGTTGAGAGTAGATGCTCAGGTAGATGCTTAGCTAGGCAGTTAGGATGATGTGGCATTAGGCAGTTGCCACAGCCCGTGTATATATAGCTCCATATATACAATATGAGCAGTCGTTGCCAGCAGTCACTAGTCACTGCCTTTTGTATCATGGTATCAGAGCACAGATCTTGAGGACCTGTGAAGGATGAAGAAGAAGAAGAAGCTTCCAGATGCCAACAGCGGCAGAAGCAGAGTAGCCTAGAGCGCAGCAACAAAGCAACGGCAGAGCCGTACCAGCGGCAGATAGTACCGACTCAGAAGCCATGGAGCGGCAGAAGATGCTGATATGCTCCAAGAGAGGAGCAGCAGAGCAGCCAAGAAGCCCAGGAGCAGCAGAGCAGTGACTCAGCAGGCCGAGAAGCAGAACGGCCAAGATGCTTGAAGAGACGAGCAGCAGCAGCCAAGTGAGCGGCAGCAGATAGCAGCGGCAGAGTTGGCTGAGAAGCCCAGCAGTGGCAAAAGAGCTCCAAGAGAGGAGCCAAAGGAGCGATGGCAAAAGAGCTCCAAGAGAGGAGCAGCAACAGCCAAAGGAGCGATGGCAAAGCAGCCAAGAGTGGCAGAGGCAGCAAGCCCTAGAGCAACAAGATGTAGTTGCTTTGAGTGGGAGTCAGTGTCAGTTGTATGCATGCTGAGCATCTTATGTTCAGGCTTTGTCTCAGTTTGTAGACACGCCTGAGTGGGAGTGTTGAGAGTAGATGCTCAGGTAGATGCTTAGCTAGGCAGTTAGGATGATGTGGCATTAGGCAGTTGCCACAGCCCGTGTATATATAGCTTCATATATACAATATGAGCAGTCGTTGCCAGCAGTCGTGGGTGGTAGCCTCCACGCTTGTATTCGTCAGCGCTTCTTCTGTCACCCAACAAGCCTCCTCCTCCTTCTTCCTCTCCCTCTATGTAACTGATTATCTCCTCGATGATTCCTTTACTGTCGTTCGTGTCGAAGTAGAAAATGCAATCTCCTTTCTCCTTTGCAAGGCAAAGCCTTGACTACTTTCCTGTAAAACACAGCGATTTTTAGCGCTTTGCAAACAAGGAAGAGCGGAGTGACTTGCCTGGGAGTCACTGGTGGAATCCGCGTCAGCCAGTCCCCTGAGAAGGCTTTCCGGGATCAACGAGTCGGCCACACCCTGGCACCACCATCGTGGAGATTAGTTTTTGCTTCCGCAAAACACGAAAACCACCACCACCTGCTTGCGGCACATTTGCGTTCGCAACGCGAGCAGTTCGGGGAAGATTTTCGGGGCCGGCTTGCGTCCAGTCGCCTGAACAAATTCTTCTAGGACTGGCCAACAGAGCTAGTTATGCCCGACATGAACTTCCCTTACCTCGCATTGCAAAGAAGAGCTTACTTATCCTCTTTCGAAGGCAGTTTTAATACGTCCTACATGCTTACATTGTATCCCAATTGTGAACTAGGAAACAAGGTTTTACCTTAAAGCTCGGGAACTTCTTTGTAAGCTCACAACTCTCGGGCGCCGCAGCCTGCAAGCCAAGAAAAAGTTAAAAGACAAAGCGGATTGTGTGACAAAAAAAAAGTGGACCTTGTAAGTGTAAGTATGGGTCTGCAAATCGACAAAGATTTCCCTCCGTGAACCCAACAGTGTAGAAGGGAGAAATAGAAACACACAAAGTAAAGCATCAAAGAAAGTAGAACAAAAAGAGAGGAATCAAACAGAAAAGTAAACACACACACACACACCTTGTCTTTGACAGCGTCGAAGTTGAGGATGACAACGTCGTAGTTCTCCACATCCACCACTGAAGTACCTACGGACTTGTTCTCCGCGTTGTGATCATGGCAAACACGGCCGTGCTGTCGTCCCTCACAATGAGGATTCCAATTCCCGCAAGGACCAGATTCCTGCATGCCTGATCTCCAGCACACAGTCTCACAAAGAAAAGAGAGATTTCGGTACCTCTGCGGTGTCACCAGTCAATCCAGCCACAAGCGCTCGAGATTTTCTCAGCCTGGAGCACGGAAATGCCGCCGGGCACCCCACACACGAATCTGGCGATCGTTAGCTTAGAAAATCCCTAAAACCTTATTCAAACAGTGGCGCCAAGTTTTATTTAAACTCGTCTGGTTCCTGGCCGTTGATGCTTCGAGTCTCGTTTCCTGGCCGTTGATGCTTTGTCACTATAACTCATACGTATATGAGAACAACACTATGGTACACTGGAGTCTAGCGAAACACCCGAGAGGTTCTAGCATGCCAAGAACCTCTCACTTGTGTCGCTGGAGTTAAATTCCATCCCGTCGCGAGGATCGATCGAAACTCACACCAGGAGGAGTTAAATCTGGGATCTGGGAGGAAACTCTCGGAGTAGCAGCAGCAGCAGCAGGGAGAAAGCTTTGCCACGGTTAGAAGTCGTCGCACAAAACTGAGAAAAAAAATCTTCATTCTTTTGCACCTGGAGTAGCGGCGGCAGCAGCACTGGTATCATTTCCCTTCCCTGTTCTTGCTTTCTTTTCTTGTTCTTCTCTCGCTGTTCTTCGCAGCATTCTCAGCAAACTTCCGTGCAAGGATGGTCGAACATCCTTTCGGCCAAGCACGCTGGCTCCGTTGCAGCAGCGATCTTCTTGCGTAAGTTAAACTTCTTGGCGATGACTGGCCGGACATCGTCCACAGTCGCGAGAGTCTCCAGGAATGGCAGCAGCATGAGCAAGGCACAGTCGGAGCGGTCGTCGAACCAGCTCTCGATGGGAATTCCATTGTCGACTTGGAAGCCAAACGCCTGCGGAAAACGGGAAATAATGAGAGGCAGCCACCGAGAAAGGAATTAACAAAGGCGGCCTACGCTAAAACCAGGAAAAGCCAATACCTGTGGCGAGTTGTCCACAATGGCGACCTTGGAGAGATCACGGCCGAGGATGCTCAAGTCTTTGAGGTAATTGCCGTCCACATAGACGCACGAGTCTCTGAAGATCCGGTGCCGGATGAGCTTGCGCTTGGGGTCAAGGATGTTGAGCAGCTGCTCCGCGTACACGCTCTGGCTCGCCGTGAAGATGATGATCTCGAAGAGCTGCGCTACTTTTTCCAGGAACACTTGAAGGTGAGGCCTCCGGCGTACATAGACGGTGTGTTCTTGATAATTGAAGTACACCGGGAAGCTGAAGTCGGCGTCGGCACAGTGCTCCAGCGTCGAATGGACAAGCGTTTCTGCCAGATCGAGGTACAGAGTTAGTGAAAAGATTAAAATCAGAACTGCCAGAAGCTTACCATCGAGATCTAGAACGAGAGTCACTGGCGGACACCGTCTCGTTTGCTTGGGTAAAAGCATCGGGCGACAAGGAGCCACAACCTCCGAGAGATCTGGCAAGTGCTTGATGAAAAGGTAAGGATCGAAATTGTCGAGCTCGTCGGGTTCATCTGCGGTTGCTTCTTTTTCTCTCTTCTCCACAGTTTGGTGCATAGCCAGGAACAAGGCCGCAGGGTCCACATCAACATCCTCTTCCTGGAGCTGGCAAACTATTTGGTTGTGCTCGCCGAGTGAGGCGTCCTCCATATTCACCCATCGTATGCAATCCTCGCCGACGCTGATTATGCTTGAGCAAGCTAAGGCTTCACACGTAGAAGTACATTGTTCTGCGAGTGTTGAGCACGAAACCAATGCCGCATTTTCCTGAGGGGGAGAGCTGCCGAGACGGACTGTCGTCATCTCTGAAGAGTCCGTGCTTTCATCTGGACAGTCCGCTTGCTCCACTGCAATGGTTATTCGGTAAATGTCAATGGGCATGGTACTGGAAAGAAAAAAAAAACAGAAAAAAGGCTTCCCGCAGATATACCAGTAGAGTTGCAGCTCGTTGATCCTTCGCTAGCGCTTCCCTTGGATGAATTGAAGGTCGGAGAAAATAAGGACTTCGATGGTGGATTTTCTAGTGCACTTCTGAAAAATCCTGTGGCCTTCTTATCATCTTCCCCCTATACAAACCAGTCGTAAGACGTGAACAAAAGAAGAATTCAAGTGTCATAAGAATACCTGTGGCGGCAACAATCCATCACACTGTTCGGAAACACAAGTGATGAGGTTGGCTACGGCTTTTACTTCTTCACTGACGACTACTCGTGCTTTAGTGACTGGAGAAGTCGGGCATTCTGCACGAAGCAGCAGTAGTAAGTTTTAGAACTTGTGTGAATTCAAGGGAAAAGAAAAGAAAAAGTTTGATCGAAGCGAGGCATGCTTACCAATTTTGCGCTTGCGAGAAGAGGACGTGATCATGGACGCCGCAGACATGGTTTTGCCGTCCTTGCCACACATCCCAGACTCCTTTCTACGCCTTTTGCAGGGACGAGTGTCCCCCAAAGGTGTTACTCCGGCCTTCCTTGCTTTCAACTTCATAGGGCCGAAGAGCTATAGAGACTGTGCGTTTCCATGGAGCACGAATTTGCTAAAGTCCGAGGAGAGAGACCAGCCTTACCAGGATCAAAGGCTGCTCCTAGTCGGCGTTGCTCCTAGTCGCCTTAACACTGCTCCAAGAAGAAATTCGCCATTAGATGGCTCGCCCACACAAGAAGATGAAATGCAATTCTAAGAAAATGCTTGCTTGCAAGAGAGAGCCAGAATGCCGGCACACTAAACCCTCGGGAGCACGAAAACAGCCGAGAATGCGAGAAATCGAGCCTAGAATCCATGCCATTGCACGGCAGCGGCTAGATATGAGCGCAAGAGCTACAGGAAACCCCGAATTCACCAGAGAAACCCCAGAATCCTGCTGGAATCGACGTACCTTGAGCATGGAAGCGCACTGTAGCTGAAAATCCCCGAGCGGCAGCGTAGCGCCGGCGAGCGCCAGTGGGATCTGCTCCCAGCTCTCCCCCCACACTGCTCTCACTGGAACTCTCCGGCATTCCATCGCGCTAAAGCTTCGCCGGATATTCCCACCGCCGTTTCACACTGGCGTCTGGTTAGTTAAGCCAGTAAGAGCGCTCCCTCTGCTGGGTGTGGTTAGGCTAACAAGAGCTGTTAGCGGCAAGGGAAGTTCAAGCCTTGGCGGGATCGGAATGTCCACCAAGTGACCACAAGGCGTAAGATCCCTCCAACTTTACGATCCACCGGCTGGTGCCGGTTGAAACGCAAAAATCTCAAATTGGAACAAATTCGAGCCGTTGGATTCGCATATCCTCTAAATCAGCATATTCGGCTGATTCTCACGTGTGTAAAGAAACGCGTCTGGGATTTAGGGTTCTAGTTCATTCGGGGGACGAAAATTCTCGCCCCTCGGGAAGATGCTCGTCTGCGCCGGCGGCCATCGATCGACCAAGCAGGGGCTTGTTTGATTCAAGCCGCAGATCCCAGAATGGGCGCGTTAAGCTGATCGATCGTCTGGAGGTGAGGGTTTAGGCGGCGCCGGAGCTCTCGGTCAGGGTTTCTGGATTATCGCTCGCTCGAGGTAAGAGCCTCGATCTCGTTCTCTCGTGAAATCCCTGAGAAGAATGTCGTCGCTACAGATGGAATTCTGTAACTGGGGAAGCATGGCGAATGCGAGCAGCATTATCCTCTCTTCCGAGGCAATACATGGCGCCGCCGTCGCCTCCGTCAAGATCGCTTCCTACATCTTCGCGTGGATCAAGCTCAAGTCCGCCGCCTTCGTCACTCTCGCACTCTACGCCATCTTTCTGAGGATCTTCATCGCCGAGCTGAGGTACATCTCCTCCCTGTCCATGTACCCGACCTTCGAGGACGGGGATCGCATCCTCGTCGACAAGATCTCCTACTGCTTCGTCCGCCCAGAGGTGAACGACATCGTCTTCTTTCGCCCACCAGCGTCGATCCTCCAGCCATCCTCCGAGAGCGGCATCCCCAACAACATCTTCGTCAAGAGGATCGTGGCGAAGGCCGGGGACGTCGTCCAGGTACTCAATGGCAAGCTTGTGGTGAACGGTAACCCCAGGAACGAGTTCTTCACGGCAGAGCCCCGGCAGTGCGACGTGAGACCGGTGCTAGTTCCCGAGGATCATGTGTTCGTCATGGGCGACAACCGCAACCAGAGCTACGATTCGTGCCACTGGGGGCCGCTGCCCGTGAAGAACATCCTCGGGAGATCGGTGCTGCGCTACTGGCCTCTCCGCAGGATTGGGACGCTGGGAGCTCCCGAGAGCTCGAGCAATCCGTTCGAGCGGAGAGGATCACACTTCCTCCAAAAGTCGAGGTCGTGCTGCTGGAGGACGATGAGCCCGTGATCTCGAGAGAAATGGATGGTGTTACTACGTACCCCGGAAGGAGGAGAAGAAAGAAAAAATCTTTCGCGACCAAGCCAAGCATTTGGGCGATGAATCATCCGCGTTTTCTTTGGTGACACGCAACTTCGTTGACAGACACTGGTAAGTTAAAGTTCTTAAGGTTTAACAAAAAAGAATGTTGTCTACCGTACAAAAAAGATAAAAGTGTTTTTCTTTTAACGTTGTCTACCGTACAACAAAAGTTAGGGTTTCTAGGATGGCGGACAAGGAGCTGCGGAGTGCCGTCTTTTCAAGCTTTCTGTGCTCTCCAGCGCAACTGGAGAGGATCGTGGGTAGAATCCTGGGTTGCGCCGTTCGATTTAACGGGATTCTAGGTATGGGGAGTTGGAATCTTGTGCTCGACGCCCAGCTCCACCAAAGTCATCAAGGTAAACGAGAAGAGCGCGTTGCCATTCGACTCCCACTCGGAGGTGAGAGCCGCATTAGAAGCCCGGTGGCGGATTCGGGCTACGCCGCGACGCTCTTCCTGGCGGGGCTGGGCATCCCGACCGTCGTGGCAGGGCCCGTCCGCGTGGCATCGCCACCGCTGCCCTACACGCCACGCGGCAAATCCCACCTGACCGTCATGCCCGTCGCCGAGGGCGTGCCGGCGTGGGAGCTGTGGAGGAAGGGTGCCACCGTGGAGTGGAAGAAGACCGTGCTCGCTGGCCTGGCAGACGTCACCATCCGGCTCTACCAGCGGCCGTTGGATTCGATGGGGGGCATGGCGGTAGGCGCATCCGACGGTGCCGGGGCTGTCCACCTGGGACCGGTACCGCAGAGTCCGGTGTCCGAGGCGATGGAGCGCGGGATGGACGTGGGGGCTCTCAGCCCCGGGCCTTACTCGTCGTGGAAGGAGTACGCGAGGAACCACATTGGAGGGCTGGTGCTGCTGTATGGAAACAGCCGCAGGTATGGCGAATCGATACGGGCAAACGCGGCGATTTTGCTCAGGTGGCTGGACGAGTTTCAAGAATCCAGCGGGGGGAGCCGGTTTTTTCTTCACCACCCCGACTTTGGACCGCGCCAAGTCCTGGTGGATCCGGCATCGGGGCACGTCCAGTGCATTCTGGACTGGGACGGGGCCAGGACGGGGACCGTGCAGAGCTTGGCCGCTTGTTTCTTTCTCCCGTTTTCCTACTACAAGGAGGAGGATGAGGAGGAGGCCGAGGAGCTGTTTGGCTTCTTCAAGCAGCAGCTGATTCGAGGGGGGGCACCGGAGTTGGCTGGGCATGCGAGGAGGCACTGGTCGCACGAGTCTTGTGATCCTCAGGTGCTGTTCGAGGAGGAGATGGAGATGGGCACTTGGGACGTGCAGGCTGTGCAGCTTTGTGTGGAGAGGCTGTGTGGTAAGTTGCAGAAGCTGGGAATTGTTGGCGGTGAGGAGGAGGTTGCGTGCATGACCCCGCCTTGGAGCAGGAGGCCAAGCTCTTGTTCTTCGTCAGACGAAGGAGAGCGCTCACCGAGCTCCTCAGGCGAAGGAGAGAGCTCCGGGGACGACGACGACGGGAAGGCCGCCACCGTGTCTTCGGTATCGTCTGATGAGCGAACAGGCTCTTCTTGCTCCGGGTCGAGCACGGATTTTGATTTGGATTCGGATGCGGAGAGCAGTCCTAGTGCTTCTTCTGCTTGGTCGAAGGAATCAAGTTCCTGCCGCGCAGGAGAAGACGAAACCTAGTCGGAAGCTCAACGTCTTTGTTGGCTGCCACCTTTTGTAAGGTTTAAAACTTTGTAAAAACTTTAACCATTTCCCTCGCACGGCCTGTTTTCTGTCTTTGTCCATGGATTGCTCGGCTGCTGGTGAATCCCTGGTACAGCAGGAGTTAGTTTTCCCACCACCTCCAGCTCTAGTGCTGTCTTTTGTTGTCACGGCTCCAGCTCGAAGTCTCCAGCTCTAGTGTTGCAAATGGTGAAGAACAAGTGCTTCGCCTGTGGTGGCACCTTGAAGGCGACTACCGGGGGCGTGCTACATTGTGGGCGGCATGAGGTGGTGTGTAGCACTCACAAGTTAAAGCATCTGACGACGGAGGAGTGCCCGGCGTGCCTCAAGCAGTGGAAGCGGGAGGAGCAGAAGAAGAAAGAAGAGCAGCACGGCACTGGTTCCTCCAAAGAGTAAGTAGCCCGAGATCACTTTCTTTCTTGTCACTCATGGCTGGGGACGTATCTGGGACACGCGAACACATACACAGTCATCTGTCTCTCAATTTAACTTCTGAAGTGTTCTTTTGAATTGCAAAGAAAGCTCCCTTGGAGTCTTCAAGCCGACTGCAAATTCTTTCTTTCCTCTCAAGACCACCCTCGATCTTTCTTGCTTGGCTCGATCTTTGAAACTGGTCACTTGCAAGCATCGTCTAACCCTCCGGATCGCGATCCACAGCTGTGGACGGCGCAGCCATTCGATTGATTAGTCAAGGTGGTTTTGCTTTGCTCGCTAGCGCTTTGTTCTTGTTAAGTCTAATCTTCCACTGCCGGATGCTCCTGTAACCTCCACTGCGAATCCGCGGGAGCTGGAATCAGATCAAACAGGTATTATATTTCTTCCTGTAGAAAAGGTTCATTGCATTTGGCTGCTGGGTAAATACCAATAAATTCTTTAGCGCCAATTCAGCGGAATATCCTTTGACTTTATTCTTTCAAGCTAAAAGACCTTTGAGTTTATTCTGTCATTTGGCGATCTTCTGTCTCTAGAAATTGTGAGGCTCAAGCCCAGGCTCACTTTGTACGCTAATCGAGGCTCTTCTCAACTTCCAGCCCCGGTTTCAATCTTTTCTGGAGTTTCAACCATGTCCCTGTGGAATGTGGAGTTCTGGCAAACCGTCCGCGTTCGAGAATACATTCCTGGAGAAGAAGCAAAAGATGATAATCAGATACCCGCAAAGGGATCCAACAATGCGTCTAACAGGGAAAAATCGAACTGTCGGACCTCCTCCAACTGGTTTGCTGTGCAGTAGCAATTGGCAAGGGTGAGTTTATAATCGCAGAGGGCGAGGCTTAATAAAAATGTAATTTACTTTTAATCTTCACCTGGTTCAACATGGTCTTCTAGGTTGCCAAAAGGCTAGCAAAGATGAGAAGTAAAAACTCTGGGAGAGCAAACATGGATGGAAAGAGTTGCTGATGACGATCACTTTGCAAGGGGCAATCTTGCTGGACAAGCGGAAAACTAGGTTAGCCATCTAGCCATGAATATTCCTTACTTTATTCTATCTTCAAAAAAGAATCGAACCCTAGACCTATGGTTTGGGAGACCAGGGCCTTAAGCGACTGGTCTAAGCTTTTTAGTGAGCTAGCAAACCAGAACTAGGACTACTTATTGAGCAAAAAACTTTTGCATAAAGTCCTTGTTGGTTGGACTCTTCGGCATCGAACCCGGGTCTTCTACAACGGTTTACCTCTACACTTACCTCATAGCCATGCTCTCAGCAACCGGGCTCCAATAATAAAATAACAATACTATGTACTTAAACCATATGGCAGGATGTCTTTGGAAAATACATGACATTTTGGTCGACGTCACCCACCATCCCCCGCATTCACAATGCTCCAAACCGGCGCTTCGTTCTTGGAAGAACCCATTCGCGGATTTTGGAGATTCTAGATTGGTCGATCTTATGCTTGATCGTTGTGTTGAGCTGAGAAAAAAAGAAGAGAGGCATCGTCCAAATTCTCCATTGTCATTTCATAAACTTGTCTGAACTTGCTTTATCCCTTGAAGCCACCTTTGTAACTTGTTGACGAACTGCAAGTGATCATCAGGCAACCGATCCTTCGTAACTCTAAAAAGCTTACCACTACCAACGTTTCTGGGCCTCCTGTTATATCTAAACTAATAGGCACGAGCTGTTACAATGGGTCAAATGAATGTAGAAAAACAAACCTGGATGTGCGCTCGACTATTTTCATTTGATTCCCCTTCGACAGGACCGCCAGGTTTTTTAGCAGCATCTACCAACTCATCAGGAGAACTTCACAAAGCATCGCTTATTTTCTCCTTAGTTGTCAAACTGCATCAGCTTGGCATTGCTTGTGAGGTCATACTCCAGCCTATACAACAGCAACTCGCTCAGCACAAAACCGAATGCCAAGCAGATGTAAAGCTTCAGTAGCATAGCCCATGCCTAGTATAAACTGAGCAAGGTCGTCATGGTGCTCTCGTCCAAGCCTGAAAGCTCTGCAAAACAAGGACTACTAGTAAAGCAAGTACTACCAATCAGTAAAGCATACCATTTCACAACGCTAGCAACGTAACATCTCCGTGAGCAGCAAGACATCCGTGGATAAACCATGAACCTGTCATACAAAGTGCACGTCCACATATGATCATGCTCCGTTAAAATGAATGTAATCCAGTTACCTGTCAACAATCCAAAGGACGCCGTCTCAGACTCCAGGACGCTTGTGCTCCATAGGTGATCTGGATACTGCTACAGCAACGCCGCCTCCCCCATCGCAATGCCACGCCTGCAACCTTCTTGTCTTCTACATCCACATCCATTTGGCTGGCGGAGGCCGTGCAGTTGAAGGTGCAGCGTGGGATGGAGCGAGCCGGACAACCTGTGACAGAAATAAATTTACCAAACTTCTAAGCGTATAACCAACGTACCTGTAATATAGGTGGTCGAAGTGTCCACAGTCAACAAAGCAATCTGCCATGGAGGCTCCCTGAGCTGCACGGTTTTTCATCTCTTCCTTCTTTCAACATCAATGGCACGTACCCCCGCATCAACGAACACACACCTGCACGGTAAAACTAAAAGTCAGGTGTACATTCACAGCAAACACAAACTGACTCGAGAGAAAGGAAATCTTTGTACAATAATTGAAAGTTCCTGCAGCAATAATTTGAAATACCTGTATCTTACCCTGAAAGAAGTGGTATCCCAGATGGCCAATGACATCTTGGTTACAAGTTGAGGAGGTCCCCTTGGTACTTTGGCCATCTCCATACCGTGCACACCACCATCGTGAGCCTGCAGAGGCAAATCAGGAAAGAGTAATTCCATTCATAGCCCCGGACACCAAAAGCGTCTGGAAATTCAGAGATTTAACTAGGCTCTCTATCAAAACCCGAGAGCTCTCAACTTACCGCCCCGCTAGACGTCATAAAAGCCGTGCCAACTCCACAAGCGAAGCGTAGAAGAAACTCCACACTGGCATCACCCAAGACGACGCTAGATAAA